AGAAGGTCACAGGTGGACAGATTTTTATAAAGCAAATTCAGTCTTAGAACCAGCAGCTCAACAAAAGTTATCATTATGCTCTTAAATCTCTCTATATATGAAATACATGAAATTTGTTCACCTTATATAAATAAAAATTCTTAAAAAAAGAAATGGAATTCATTACCTTCCAAAAGTCACTGTTAGTCTCCTTCCAAATCACTAATAATTTTCTTTCTTTCCTTTTTATTAAATATTTATTTTATTTTATTTTATTTGAAAGGCAGAGTAACAGAGAGAAAGGGAGAGAAAGAGAGAAAGAGAGATCTTCCATCCACTAGTTCACTCCCCAAACGGCCATAATGGCTCGAGCTGGGCCATACTGAAGCCAGGAGACAGGAAGTTCTTCTGGGTCTCCCACAAGGGTGCAGGAGCACAAGCACTTGGACCATGATCTGCTGATTTCCCAGGTGCATTAACAGGGAGCTGAATCAGAAGTGGAGCAGTCTGGACTCGAACTGGCATCCATATTGAATGGCATAGCTGCAAGCAACAGCTTTACCTGCTGTGCCATAGCACTGGCCCCACTAATAATTCTCAATCAAGGTGGTAACTTCTCTGATGTTTAACGTTGTAACTATGTTATATATTTTTGTATTTTTCGCTATAGAGATTCTTTTTTTTTGACAGGCAGAGTGGACAGTGAGAGAGAGAGACAGAGAGAAAGGTCTTCCTTTGCCGTTGGTTCACCCTCCAGTGGCCACCACGGCTGGCGCGCTGCGGCTGGCGCACCGCGCTGATCCAATGGCAGGAGCCAGGTGCTTCTCCTGGTCTCCCATGGGGTGCAGGGCCCAAGCACTTGGGCCATCCTCCACTGCACTCCCTGGCCACAGCAGAGAGCTGGCCTGGAAGAGGGGCAACCGGGACAGAATCCGATGCCCCGACTGGGACTAGAACCCGGTGTGCCTGCGCCGCGAGATGGAGGATTAGCCTAGTGAGCCACGGCTCCAGCGACTATAACGGTTCTTTGTTTCTAGCATCTTACACCCAAAATTAGTGAGATTCATTCAACCAATAATTACTTTTTTTCATTACTATGAAATGTTTCACTGTAAGAAAATGCATGAATGTTTGCTTTTGTGTGACACTGTGTTCTACCACTGAATGAGCAGTTTTTACTCAGGGATCTTACAAGTAGTCCTGATAGAACATGTGCTTAGAAGTGAGGGTGCTCAATACACAGCTCTAGCAGAAGAAGCTGGCAAGCCATTTTTCAAAGCAGGTTAACTAATTTATACTATAATTATCAGAATAAGTGTTCCAACTATTACACATCCTAGGCAATACCCACAACTGTTAGTCTCTTTCATTTTATCCATTCTAGTGTTTGCATACTGAAATTTCATTTTGGTTTTTATTTTTCAAGTTCCTGTTGACTGAGTCTGAGCATTTATTCACATTAGTTTTCAGTTGATTCACTTCTGTATCTCTCAGTGTGTACCTATTTTGATTCATTGGCTTGTCTGTCTGTTATGTCTTACAGTGTCCCTCATGAATTCAGATGTTGAAGTATCTGATTGACTCTCAGTATCTGATTAAATGACCTTTGGAAATGATCACTGTGTATGTAATTAGGATGAGGTCATAATGGAATAAAGACAATCCTAAGCAAAAGTATTTAGATTCCTTATGAATAGCAGAAATCTGGACAGGACACACAGACACACAGGGAGATACCTATATGAGGATGAAAGCAGAAATTGGGATGATCTAGCCTAAGCCAAGAAATGCAAAAGATCGTCAGTCAAGAGAGGGGTCCAACCATTTTATCCCTTGTAGTCCTCAGAAGCCACCACCACTACTGACACAATAGCCTTGCATTCTCTCTTTCAGAAGTGGAAGACAATAAATTTTTATTCTTTTAAACTATTAAATTTGTGTTTCATTTTTCAGGAGTTGTAGCAACCAATATGATGTTAATTTGTTCTTGGTTTATAAGAATTCTGTATATATTCTGCATTTGAATTCTTTGTCAGCAATACAAATTATAAATTAATCTGTGTCTTTTCTAATAATTATCTTATGGTGTCTTGTGATGAATAAAAACCATTAAGACTAATGCCAGTGGAATGTTTCTTTTTTCTTGATAGCCACTACTTTGTATGTTCTTTTTTAAAAAAGTACTTGCTTACTTCAAGATCATGATCAGGAAGAACAAGATGTTTTCTTCTAGATAAAGGAATTTTATCTTTCATTTTTATTCTATCAATTTTTGTGAATGTAGTGATATAGAAGTCAAGATGTATTTTTGCAAATAGATATCCAATTAAGCTTAATCCCAAAAATCAATTCTGCATTTCAATGTATCTTTTTATTTTTAATACCAAATAATTTTATGACTGTTTCTGAGCATTGTATTCTATTAAACTTGTCAATTTGCCTATTTCTGAGCTAAATATATACTGTCATATTTATTATATATTTATAATTTATCTTTATATAGAGAGATAAATTCTTCAGCTTTTTATATTTCTGCTAGACTGTTTTCAATTAAAATTTTAGAAACAGTTAAGTTTTACGAAGAATCCTGCTGGAATTTTTCTTTAGATTATATAAAATCAAACTAATAATTTAGGAGGTTAGTACTGTGGTGCAGCCAGTTAAGTCAGGGCTTTCAATGACTGAATCTATTACTGGAGTGTTTTGTGTACTGGCTGCTCACTTCTGATCCAGCTCTCTGGCAATACACCTGAGAAAACAGCAGAAAACAACCCATGGATGGAGTTCTGTGCTCATCTTGAGTCTGGACCAGCACCCAACACTGCGGCCATTTGGAGAGTAAACCAGAGGATGGAAGCTTTCTCTCTCTCTCTCTCTCTCTCTCTCTCTCTCTCTCTCCACCCCCCCTTGCTTTCGCTCTCAAATTCACTCTTTCAATATATTTTAAAAATATGTAGGACAGAATTTGTATCATCCTAACATTGGTTTTTATAAGTTGCAAACCTGGAATAGTGTGCTGATTTTGGTGTTCTTTAATGATGGACTTCATACTTTTGTGTTGTAAGTGGAAAGTTATTGTTCCTCTACTGTCACATATATTCCTGTGAATTTTTCTTTTTAATGCCATTGGAAAGACTATATTTTGATCTTTTATCTTCTATTTGTAGTCCTCATACATAGAATTATAATTGAGTTCCATATATTGTCATGGTTAAATTCTCTATTAATTACATGACTTGTTTAATTTTTTTATTTTTCTCTCTATATATTCATGCTAGTTTAAAAAAAAATAAAAAAGGACATTCTGTTCAAGGTCTTCCAGTATGTATATCACTTTCTTGTTTTTTAATTTGTCTTTCTTTATCACATTGGTTGTGACTTCTAATACAATATTGTACCTCCAGTACAGTATTTTAAATATAACATTTTAAATATCTATAAATATTTTCTCAGTCTAAAAATGCACATGGTTCTTTTTCTATAATCATTCTTTATTTTCTTTCCTTACAGTGCAGTCATTTCAGAGTATCCTTGATGTCATTACTTCTCAATCATTTTATAGTCGAACACACAGTGACTTCTTCCATTGTGTCCTGGTGACACTGTAAATGCCACCCATAATTCCCTAAATGACATTCCATTTCACTTCTCCTTAGTATTTCTAATCATTGCTTTTTGTGCAGCCATTCTCATAATGTTTATTGGTTTTAGACTTTATGACATCTTGAAACTAGATACTTCATGTTTGTATCTTTCTAGCAAGAGTTTCTTATTTAATTCTTTAAAATTCTTTATGTATAATTTCTTTAATCCTGATTTCTTTATCTTTGTATGAGACAATATCTGCTTACACGATTTTTGGAGGAATACCTGTGAAGTGTCTAGTGCGTGACCAGTCACAAGAACAATAAACAGTGAATGATAATTCTCTGAAGTGTTACCTTTATTGTTATACTTGTCAAAATTATGTTTTTCACAGGTTTCATTTTATATCTTTGTTCTTCTCATTGTGGTCTCTCATTTTGCATATTTTACCTTATTATCTCTTAAATTAAGACTTCAGCTTTGTTCACATATTCTTCCTAAGGTAATCTAACATATTTTCCTTCGTTGTGTTCTCTTGCAAATTTACTTAATAACCATTCAATTATTTTTTACTGCTGTTGTCTATGCTCCCACTGCACTAGAGTTTTTTTTTTTTTTTTTGGTTTTTACTTATTTACATTCTTATTTGATGAAGAATTAAGCCTTTCTGCTGTAATGTAATTTTTAAAATATGTTATCTCAAAAGCTATAAAAAAAAGTAAGAAGGAAAGAGGGTGGGAAGGATGGAGGGAGGGAGGGAGGAAAGGAATAGCACTATGTTCTTAGAATATATCTACAAACCACATTGAATCTGGTAAAAGCAAATAAAAAATTAAAAAAAGAATAGGGTCCAGTGCTGTGGTATAGTAGGTAAAGCCTCTATCTGCAGTGCCAAGATGCCATATTGGTGCTGGTTTGAGTCCTGGCTGCTCCATTTCTGATCCAACTCCCTGCTAATGCCCCTGGAAAAGCAGCAGAGGATTGTCCAAGTCCTTGGGCCCCTGCATCCACGTGGGAGACCTGGAGGAAGCCTCTGGCTCCTGGCTTCAGATTGGCCCAGCTGTGACCGTTGCAGTCTTTTGGGAAGCAAACCAGCAGATGGAAGACCTCTCTCTCTCGCTCTCTCTACCTCTGCCTCTCTGTAACTCTGTCTTTCAAATAAATAAATAAATATCTAAAATTTTAAAAATTTAAAAGCATGCATTTATTGTCTCATATTTGAATATATGTTTGTTCTTTTGAAATGAAAATTGTGTTTTCTTTCATAACATGAATTATTTGGTACTAGAAGTTTTATAAAACCATTCAGCTTTCCATTTGTAGATAATTTTTTTACATTATAAATACATATGATCAATAAAAGTGTAATATTTGAATGATATACATGCCCTTTCTCCATCATTTCTAACTAAAATTCTTTCCAAATTTGCTTTATCAGACAATGCCACAGAATCTTTGCTATCATACAGCATATCTGATGGATGTAGAAGGTAAGAACTTTAAATATTACCTTTTATTAAGTGAATTAATTAAGAAATTTTGAAAACTTATACACCCATCAACAATTTATTGCATTTTTGAGTTCTCATCCTGACCAATAATTTTAAGAAATTTATTATTAATTAATTTAATTCTATGAAATAGCATCACATTTGTAAATAAAGTCATGCTATTGTTAGCTTCTAATTTTCTCTTATGCTGAGTTGTTTCAGTTTGTTTTGTTTTGGTTTCTTTGCCATGATGTTTGTCTTTTTGCTTTTGATAAGATTGCAATTTAAAATTTATACCTAGATCAGCTATTATTATGGTATTCTCATTTATTTATATCTTTCCACAGTTTTTGCTTATTTTAACTTTTTTCTCATTATGTTTTTGAAATCAAGAGAATTTGAAAATGTTAAGAAAATCAAATTCTGATATGTCAAAGCGTATAGCAAAATGTCTCACTTAGCTTTAAAACTTTCTGTAGATTAATACATTACATGGATTTCTTTGCCATCATTAACTTTCCTTTTTTGTACATATTAAAACATTGTAATCAGTGATTCTTTGGAACATGATTACTTTTATATTTTGATACTATTACTTTGCTAATATATATATCTTAATTTAAATAAGTATTGATATATTTTGATTTCCTGCAACATTATGTGCTTTTATATAAAAGAATCTCTTTTTTTTACTTCTTACCACTTTTTTTATTCAAGAGTTTTTATTTTTTTGGCTGGGACTTCCAGTAGCCTGCTGTTTCTGAGTTATGTTAGCAGGCAAGCCAGCATTTTGCTTACACAAAGAGAAATGACTCTACATTTCCCTTGTTAAATATGATATTGCATTGATTCTTGGCAGAACAGTTTATCAAGTTGCTAGGATTTATCATAATTACTATATTTTTCTCTGATGTCTTTTTTCTGGATCTACTGAGAGCTTTTTCCCCTGTTAATTAGTTAATGTGGTGATTTTCAATAATTTCAACATATTAACCCATTTTTACATCCCTTGTGCAAATTGTGTTAAGTAATGGTTTTAGCAACTGCAATTTTTACTCTTTGCCTCTTACTTGTGTAATATATAGCATTACTGCTATCCCAGATTTTTATTGAAATTCAATTTTAAAAGTATATGGCACATACGTGTATTAACAGAAAAAAATATAATTAATTTTGCTTGTGAAAGATTGTCAGAATTTCCTATTATTCCTAGATCATTTCTATACTCTCAACAATTCTATTCATTTTCTACTGCCATATAACAAATTATCACATATTTACCAGGTTAAAATATCACATTTTATAGAATCTCTCAGTTCTCATGGGTCAAAAGCCTGGGTCCTGCCTACCTGGGTTCTTCACTCAGGTACCCAAAGACCCCAGTCAAGGCATCTGCAGAGGTTGCATTCTCACAAAAGAGTCAAACTGGCAAAGATTAGCCTTCAAGCTCCCTTGTCGTGTTGGCAAAATCCCTTTCCTTGCTGGTGAATAACTTAAATGACAGCTTCCTTTTTCAGAGAGAATGGAACAGAGTCTCTGACTTCGAAGGGAGACCCCAGTCCCTCTTTTCAGTACCTTAATCATTTAAATCAGCCTCTTCTAAGATGGTGTTTTTTGGTTAATTGTAAATCAGTAGATTTAGAACTTTAGTTACATTTTGCAGTTTCCTTTTATTTTGCCACGTTCTATGAGTTAGCAGCAAGTCACAGGTTCTCGCTGAACCTGAAGGGAGGGGAATATAGAAGGATCTAGTTCATTGTAGTTAGCCCTAGGGATTTCCCCCACAGCTGTTTGATTTATTAAAGTGATTTTTGGAGGATATATGCACAAGTGTACCATGTTTATGTTCCTATGATTTATTAAACTCGTCTTTCCCTTTTTTCTGCTTTTGCATTGCTAATTAGTCCATGGTATCAATGGATCAAAGGTATAGATTTTTCCTTAGTGGATTTGGTAGATGTTTTATTTATTTGGCAGAGAACATAGAAGGGGAGAGAGAGAGCAAACAGGAGAGAGAGAGAATGAGAATCTCTCATCTGCTCTTTCATTCCCTAAATTATTGTAGATGCCTTTGGCCTGTGGGGTCGGGCTAAAGTCAGGAGCCAAGATTTCAGTCCAGGTCAGCTACATGGGTGGTAAGGACTCAACTACTTGAGCCAACACCTGATGCATCCCTGGGTCTGTACCAGCAGGGAGCTACAGTTAGGAGCCAGAGACAGGCAGCAAACCCAGGTACTCTGTGTCTGATATGGGACACAGACATTCCAATTGGTGTCCTAATCACTAAGCTAAACAGCCACTCCTGGTATGATAGTTTTTATAAATAAGCTGCAATATAATTATAACTGTATAATCACCCTTATTCGTATGAAAATCTGTTTTGAAACTTACAAGTGAAATGTGACAATTTAGAAATTTATCTTATTTAAATAAACTTTATTTTTAGAATACTTTTAGGTTAAGAGTAAAATTGAGTAGACTTTTTACAGAGTTATCATAGCCTCATAGTTCCTGCCATTACACATCCACAATTTTTCCCCACCATCAAGCAAACTGCGGTAAATTTATCAAAATTGGGCAATCTACGTTAACACATTTATCACCCAAAGATCATGTTCACATCAAGCTTCACTCTTGGTGAGGGTGCATAGTCTAATTTAAATTTTTTTCTTAAATTATTTTCTTCTATTTATTCTTCCCTCAGTCTTGCTCTAATTATGGGTACTAAATGCCCTTTTTGGTTTGTTTTGTTTTTACCTAACACATATATACTTTGCATTTCTGTGGTTTTTATCAAATGTACAATGATATAAATTCACATGGCAGAATCATAGAGAATAGTTTCACTGTCTAAAAAGCCCTCTGTATTCTACATGTTTCTTCCCTTCTCTCCTCCCTCTGCAACCACAAAAACTTTTCATGGTCTCCATAGTTGTGTATTTACAAAATAATCTTATAGTTTGAATCATATAATATTAAAAGATTTCTGATTGGCTTCTTATAGTGATATGCATTTAAGGTTCCTCCATATCGTTGCATGGCTTGCTTTGTTAGCTCATTTTTTCAGCATTGTATAATATTCCATTGTCTGGTGGTTGCTTTCAAGTTTCAGCAATTACAAAATTATAAACATTCTTATTAAGATTTTGAAAAGACTAATGGTATAGATTCATTTCATCCTCCTTAGCCACAGGACATGCATCCTTTTTTTAAGATTTTATTTAATTATTTCAGAGGCAGAGTTACAGACAGAGGAAAGGAGAAAGAAATACGTCTTCTACATGCTGGTTCACTCCCCAAATGTCCACAACTCAGTGGGCCAATCTGATGCCAGGAGCCAGGTGCTTCTTTCAGGTATCTCACATGGGTACAGGGGCACCAACACTTGTGCCATCCTCCACGGCTTTCCTAGACCATAAGCAGAGAGCTAGATTGGAAGAGGAACAGCTGGCACAAGAGCCTGCGCCCATATAGGACACCGGCACCACAGGTGGAGGCTTAGCCTACCATGCCACAGTGCCAGCCACAGGGCATAGATTCTAAGATCCTCAGTGGGTTCCTGACTCTGTGGATAGTACCAATTCCTACAATGTCTGGACATTTTTATATAAATCCCTCTGATAAAGATTAATATAGTTGGCAAAATAGAGATTAATAATGACTATAAATTAATACTATTAATAATGATTATAAAAATGAAGCAATTATAAAAATGAAGTGTAATAAAAGTTATGTGAATATGCCCATTTCTGTCTCTCCTGAAATAGCTTATTAATCTATACTCTTCTGGTGATGTGAAACGGTAGAATGTCTACATGATGAGATGAAGGGAAAACAATGATGTAGGCATTGGGAAGCAGCATCAGGGTACTGTGAAGGATTACGTCCAGGTAATGCTATCATTGTAATACTATAGCAACTGATGAGATAAGTATTTAGTAAGCAGATAAACCATACAATATGTATATGTTAGACAAACCGAGAATGAGAATTCCTGTACCGGAAAACACACAGTGGGATTGTGCCAAATTTCATCACACTACTCATAATATGCAATTTAACACTCATAAATTGTTAATGTATGGAAATTTCCATCTAAAAATGTTGACTGCAAGTAATTGAAACAGCAGAAAGCAAAATGGCAGTTAGGGGAATAGTGCTGTGCAAAGGAGATAAATTATTAGGCCATAATGGCAATATAATCTTAAGTTTATAAACTGTCAAAATGGCCTCCAAGTTGGCCACATCAACTTGCAATCTCACTGGCAAAGACTGAGAGTTGCTGTTGCTCCTTATCCTCTCCAGCATTTAATGCTGCATTTTTCTAGATTTTAGCCCTGCAATATGTGTATAGTGATATCACAATTCTGGTTTGATTTGCCATAACTTAATAATATATGGTGCCGATCTTTCTATGCATGTTTTACTTCTGCATATCTTTGTTGAGCTAGCACTTTAAGTCTTTTCCCTATTTATTAATCAGTCTATTCCTATTCTTCACATAGTTTTAAAGAATGACCATGTATTTGTGAGTAACTGCTGTTATCACATGTGACTTTTGTGAATATAGAGGTCCTCAAAATGTTTCTTGAAATTATGTGTTTTGGGAAAAAATCATGCATGGGTTTCATTTACTTGCACATAAATAAACTTCTCTTTTTTGCTTTTTATTTATTTATTTTTTCAAAAGGCAGGAGGCTAGAGACAGAGAGAAAAAGAGAAAATTCTTCCATCTACTGTTTTATTTCCAAATGGTCACAATGCCAAGGGCTGGGCTAGGCCAAATCCAGGAACCTGTAACTCCATCAAGGTTTCCCACATAGATAACAGGGACCCCAATATTTAGGCAATTTTGACTGGTTTTCTTGGGCATGGGTTTTGATTGGAAGCAAATCATCTGGGACTCAAATCAGGGCTCTGATAATGGATGACAATGTCCCAGGCAGTAACCTAACCTGCACCATAATACCAGCCCCAAATAAACTTATATTTTAATGCCATTTTTCTACAACATCTTTGAATTACCTTCTTTTGTGGCTTATCATTTCATTCTCTTGATATTTCTTTTCCCAGAATAGTTTTAATTTTAATGATGTTCAATTTTTCAGTTATATTGTCTATGTAGTATGCTTTTGCTGTTACATCTAAAAAGTCACTACCATACCAAAGTCATATGGATTTTCTCCTTTATTATCTTCTAAGGGTTTCACATTTTTGTGTTTTACATTTATAACTCAGATCAAATTTGAATTCATTTTAGTAAAAATTCTAAGGTCTAGTCTAGAATTTCATTTGCATGTGAGTGTCCTGCTTCACATCACCTTTGATTGAAAATGCTATATTAACTCCATTGCATCACCATTGCTTGTTTGTTAAAATTCAATTGATTACACTTATGTGAGTCTATCATGGATTCTGTATTCTGTTGTATTGAGATATTCTTCTGTTTCTTCACCAAGCATACACTATATTAATAACTGCAGCTTTATAATAAATAAATCTTGATTTCTTGTATAAATTTATTCTTCTATTTCAATATTAACTTGGCTATTCTGAATCTTTGACATTTGAATCATCTTAAAATAATATTTATACAAAAACTGCCAATTTCTCACAGAAGAAAGACTGTCATTTATTTCATTTTTTATGACACACTGTGTCTACCCTTATTAATTCACAACCAATTCCACAGAGAAAAAGAGTATTCAAGTTTTGGTACGGGAAGTATATCCTCCAATATGTATTTTTTTTATTTTATTTATTCATTTAACACAGAAACCTTCCATTTATGGTATACAAACTCCATGCATTTCATTAATACAAATTTAGGAACATAGTGATTCTTCCCACCCTACCCTCTCTGCCACCCTTATTGCTTAGTGTAGGGTTAATCTTTTGTGTATTTAATTTTAAAATTTGTGGTAATAAAGCTTAGATTGTACCACATGGTGATGATTCATGTGTGTGATTTTTCTTAAAACTAAAGTAAAAACATTGCAAAAAATAAAATAACACTAAATTTTAATTTCTCTCTCTCTCTCTTTTTTTTTTTTTTTTTGACAGGCAGAGTTAGTGAGAGAGAGAGAGAAAGGTCTTCCTTCCATTGGTTCACTCCCCCCAAATGGCTGCTACGGCCAGCGCTGCGCCTATTCGAAACCAGGAGCCAGGTGCTTCCTCCTGGTCTTCCATGCGGGTGCAGGGCCCAAGGACCTCGACCATCCTCCACTGCCTTCCCGGGACATAGCAGAATACTAGACTGGAAGAGGAGCAACCGGGACAAAATCGGGTGCCCCAACTGGGACTAGAATCCGGGGTGCCAGCACCGCATGTGGAGGATTAGCCAAGTGAGCCTCGGTGTCAGCCTTGAGTCATCTTTTTCAGTCTTCCCAGATACATTAGCAGGAAGTTGGATGAGAAGCAGAGCAGCTGGGATTTGAACTGGCACTTTAATATGTGATGCTGGTATTTCAAGCTGTGGCTCTGATATTGTTTAATTACGAGCCAAGATTAATGTTTTAGGTTCTTGTCTGAGCTTAGAGAGTCATTCTAAACTTAGACATACACAAGACAAGAATCATGGCGAAAACTCAGAATTTATTTGGGGAAGTGAGAGAAATATACAGAAATGTGAAGGCTTTATTTAAGGGAGGGTGATCAGAAAAATGAACCAGGAGTTTCATACAAGGCAGAGAACAGGCCAAGAGCCACATGTGGGCGTTCACTGGTTGGAGCTCTGTAGAGAGAAAAATCATGCGGGCTGGAATGATCGCAAATAGTTCAGTGTCCAGGAAAAAGCGTGGGCAGGCTCCAGGGGCTCCATGTCTTTTATTCACTTCCAAAAGGGGAGAGGTTACGTAGTCTGACTTACCAGTGGGTATATACAGGTGAGATCCTGCAGGGGACAGGAGGGCGTGGTCTCCAGCTCACAAATCTAACTGATTTAATCCTATCTGCCTGCCCATATCAGCTTAAGCTGATATACTACAAAACCAAGTACCTATTAATAAATTAAAATATGAGATTCCCACCTTTTATGTTTCTCCATGATTCAGATAGTAAGTAAAAACTATTTATTGAATTTATACAGAGAGCCATCCACATATTAGAGAGGGAAGTATTATTACAATCACACCCCCTCCCCCCAAAAAAACCAAAAAACAAATATACCGTAAAATACTTCTGAGCATTTCTGCCAACTGTAAGTTAGATAGTGAAATCAGAACGTTTTATCAATATTTGAATCAAGTTCTGTTATTAAATTCTGCTAAAAGGCTTTCTGTATCCTCAGAACTACAGTTCTTTAATAATATATTTAAATGCTTTTGTAATTATCAATGTATGTTGATCACTATAATTTAAAACTCACTCGGTTTCAATAATAATAGCTAACATTTGTTTAGCTCTAATAATATGCTAGGTAGAGTCCTAAATCCTTTACATGTAGTATCTCATCAGTTAAATTCAATATTTATTTAAATGAGGATCATGAAGAAAAAAAGGATTAAGTAATTTATCTGCATGATAGATCCAGGATTCTGTATTATGATACTCTGCCCTTACCTTAAAAGAGAAATCTTTTAATCACTATTCACTAAAAACCAATTACATGGGGTTTTGATGGTGATTGTAACAGGAGCAATAGTGTTGAAGCACAGAATGGAGCGTTGGTAATGCAGATTTGTTGGTACTTTGTTCTCCTTCACTAAACACAGTCATACTGTCCACTAATGGCATTATTTAGTTGTAGTTTTTTTCTTTTATCTAAGAATATGCAGTTTCTTAACTATGAAAAAAACAGATTGGGTGAAGCTAGTAAGAAGCATTATGCATAAAGCATGATGAAGCAAATAGCGTGTGAGACTGAGAAGTTACCAGTGTTATGAATAGAACTTGAAATGTAAAGATAGAATACGTGGTTTAACAAAGGCACCAGGTACATGAAAACTGAGGGGTGGAAGGGACAAACAAACCTTAGATATTAATAAGGAATAATCATGCCACCTCCTGTTTGAAATCATCCCCAACTCAGTCACCCATTGGTGACACTCATTAAGGCCCCATTTTGAACTAACGCATGTTCTACATTAGAAATGCAGTAAGTAAGCACAGTTGTTCAGTAAATCATAGTTAAGCCATATTTATCAGTCAGACACACTTGGCACACACATTCCCCATACAGCTGGTTCATTTGGTTCCAAGCATCTTCTTTCCAACAAGTTCCTTTGCTCAAATGTCAACTTCGATTCTTTCCACCATATCATCATGGCGGGGGAGGGGAGGCAGGATATTGTGGCAAAAATAGAGACAAAGGCTATATGAACACTGATAAAACTTTACTTAGAATACAGTCATTTCACCTGCCTTAGACTCTACCCTTACTGACTTAATCTGATCCATTTCTTTCCTCTTGATTTTTACTGCACAAGCGTGGTTTAAGTTGATTAAATAAATAATGCAATTTGAAGATTAAGTAATTCCTTGAGACTTGCAACTCCAGGAGACCTGACATGCTTTGTCTGCTTTTCTTGAAGCCTTCTATTTAGAACAGTGCTTTCCCACACGAGGCAGCATTCCCTTTTTGAAGGTATGTATCTGCAAAGTACCGTTGCATAATGGAACACTTGGAGTTAAGAGTCCTCCTAGGAAGGACATTTACATAGCAGGGAAATACCTGCACAAAGTGCTGGAGGATGGATATAAGAGTAGAAGTATCTCAAACAAATATAATCCCAAAACTTCTTGTATTAGAAAGAAATGTGCTTGAGGTAAGACTAGGGTAAAAAATTTGAACTGCTGTTGCAAAACACCTGATACGAGATCATTTATAAAGAACAGAAATTTATCTCTCACAATTCTGGGGTCTGGAAATTTTGAGACCAAGGCAGCAACAGAGTTCACTTCTGGTGACGGCGGATCTCTCTGCTTCAGAAATGGCTCCTTTGCTGTGTGTCTTCACATGGCAGATTATGTAGAAGGGTCAGGCATCTCATTGAGACATCTTTTCTTAGGGGATTAACTTCATTCATCAAAGTGGAGCCCTCATGACTTAATCACTTACCAAAAGACCTTGCTTCCTAATACTGTCATATTATGGATTAAGCTTCAATATGTGAATTTTGAGAGGACACACATTCGGAGCATAGGAAAAACCTTTCTAATAAAAAGAT